CCGAAGAAATTGAAAAAATATGATCATGACGGATCTCCATCGATCCTAATTGGAATTAGCACTTAAGTGATCATTTTTAAAAAAAAAAAATAGCACTAAAATGAGCGTCGTACGAAACTTTTGGCATTTTTAGTCTCCTTCTACCATAATTTATTTTATGGAGTTAAAATTATAGTGATTTTTTATACTTTAATATTGTCTGCCTCTTTATTATATATTAAAACAGTATATCTGGAAAGATGAATCTTTTTTTACGTGCTAGGATTTTTCATATGAACTAAAATGTTATAATACTGTAATGATCACATAAAAATAATCATGAATTTAGTTTTTAGAATGAACGCAAGTAAATCACCAGTTAACTAATTTTCTCACTAATAAGAATTGCACTGGTAGGTTCCAAATCTGCAGAGTGTTACGTGGTAAATGGGAAGGACTCGACGCGGTGGTGAAGATACAGGAAGAGGCAGTCAATTACAGAGTCTTGTCGGGTGACGACGTACGCAGAATGAAGGTATGCTGCCGAACTGCTTTTCTATTTTATTTCGCTTCTTCTGATCCTTGTAGTTCTAGATTGTGGCTGGCTGTATCAATGTTGATGAATGTTCTGTTTCATTTTTCAGTATTAATATTATACATGCTTAAGTATTTCGCCGATGACACATTCTATTATGGTCAGATTGATCGGATACCGATGGAAAGGTGAAATGGTGGGCATGGGTTATATGATCAACGCCGTCAAAAAAAGGACAGTCGCTGCCTTGCTTGCCATGTTCATAGAACTTACATTTCACATGACTGAGAGGAGACTGCCATAACTGTTTGTGTGTCATTTATGAAATCAAGCTGCATTCGTTGTACAGTCTGTCGAGGAGCTAATTCTTGCATGCGTCTTTGGCAGTTCCAAATACACAAACCAGTCTGAAGGACCTGGTTGATGTTCCAGCACTAGTTGGCAAATTTAACATTTCTTATTTCTCACACGCGTTTATATAAGTTTAAATGTTGTGCATACCAGAAGTGAAAACAAGCTGCTGATCTGGTTGGGAGCTCATAATCAAACCCCGCGCTTTGGCTTTTAAGTCTCCTTGAATTTATGCATTTTCCAGAAACAAACCCACCATATCCTTCCATGAATTCAAATTTGGATGCAAAAGGAACATGTTACAATCGACCATGTAAGCCTTTTCGACTGCCCATTGTCTGTGTTTCCACAACAATCGATCGATCGTCTTCTTTTATGTGATGTGGTTTCCAAGAATTGTAGGATCACAACGCAATCTTATACGATAATAGCATGATTTCTGTTGGAATTTTTACGAATAAAAGGATAATGTTAAATCAGTGTATGAAAGGTTGTTACGGCTATGTCGATCCAACTCAAAATGACTGCAGTAGTTCTGATTCAGTTTGATCTTTGCATTGACTGCATTTCCACCTATAAGCAGTCTTGATTCATTTGTTGCCCGTTTAGGTTCTTTGACGTCTCTGGTGACATATCGTCATAATTTTCTTCCCTTGCAAGAAGCTACGCATAGCATGAACCCACAAATTAGAATTATACCCGTGTAGAGCAGCTTGTATGGGCTGGGAGACCTCTGATTTGTCCATTTTCCATGCGACAACAACACGTCAAGCTTCCATCAACAAGTCACTATTGGTTGACTTGGTTTGGGTCAAGGTTCTTTGGTAAGGGTGGCGGTCAAATCTGACCCCTTCGAGTATCTGTCGTATCTGCGCGACGTGCGCGTGTCTAAATGTGCGGCGGCGGCCGCCATATCGATAGTGTCATATGTTCGCACTGGAACCTTGGAAGACAACGAAAGAAATACATCGTAATACCACAAGTCGCGTCAACCTCCTTTGTCCTGGCCTCTGGTCCCAGCCGAGAAACTTCCAAGCATATAAAAAAGCCAACAAGACGAATCGGATGGTCCCCAGCCCGCCGAATTTACGTGATCTCTTTTGACCTATATGTGCAAAGAGTCTGAGGTGCGAGGCCTGCCTATCGAATCGATGGAGGCAAGTATGTGATCGATCTGTCATGGTTCTATACCGATACTTTTGGTATAGTGTCTTGAGGGCGACCCGAATTGCATCCGATTTATGTAGATTCTCTATTATATCGCATGATGGATTAATTTGGGCATAAAATGAGTATAGTTTTTTTATTTTTGCTAAAAGTAAAATGAGTACAGTTGATGAGCACATAGGAGTGATACATTCTCCATCACGATGCATATCGCGCATAGCAGAATGACTGATGAAGGCTTTGCTAATCAAATCAAAACACTGTGTAAGGAAGCAAACAACAACTTGATTTTCTCCACCCGAGCTGGGCTATGTAGTCAAGTTTCTTGTCTAAGAGCGATAAGAAAGTCAGGATTTGGGTTATGAAATTCGTCATAGGAAAGATAATTATACAATAAACTATATCATATAGGTCAAAGAGCCGACACGGTGCACACGGATTACACAAGCGATTCGGATTTGATTTCCTAGACTTGTAAGAATAAAAGTTCGAGCCACCCAGTTGGATTTTGACTGGAGGTTAGCAGAGATATAGCGGGCCGATGCGCATTTCCTTTGACCGAAAAGCGATTGACCAAGGAATTCAACAGCAAATAGAAGCAATCAACATATTCATCTGCATGATGAGTTTCTTTTTTTGGTCAAGACAAATTTCCATTCATTACCAAAATGATACATGATAGGAAATCTCTAAAGTCACCATAACAAAGCAAGCCAACAAAGATTCAAAACAAACAAAAAACCAGAAATCAAGACATATCATCAGATCGTGGATGGCAGAGATAATCACATGCTCGTCCTTCAAGAATAGATCTGTAACTTCATCCAAGCGAAAGAATCGGCGACCGATCACCGAAGCGCACAACATGATCAGTGATAAGCACACACCGAGATCTCCATTTATAGTTACGGTTTTGCCTTTCGGCGGCGTGCGCCTAGGTTCGGCATCCCCAATGCCATCATCATAAGGAGACAACATAAATATGTTGAAAAAACTCATATCTGATACCTTGAGAGTGAGCTCTGTAACATCGCACAAAGCTTGTAACTAAAACACGTTAAACGAGCACAAATTTGACACCAAAACTGCTTTGAACATCATTGAAACTGGAAACGGAATATTTATTCATTAAAACTCCAAAATCTAGAATTAGATGGGAGAGAAAAGCTCCGAGATATAATATCAGGAGAGCAAAACTCTCAGATCTAAAACTAGATCGAGAGAGTAAAAAAAGAAATATAAAGAAATAAAAGGAAAAATAACTAGGAGGGGAGGGAGAGATCTAGATCAAATCCCTCCCATTCATAAGGGGAAGAGACAAAGAAAGGTTCAGAGAGGGAGAGAGCGAGAGAGCAATGAAGAGAGATGCATGATGAGTTTATGAGCGTGTGTACGCATTGAAAATTCTTGAACGGAGGAGGGCATAGCTTGAGTCGTTATCCGTGGTCAGCAGTGTCTAAAAAAAATTAAAAAGGTTGCCGTGGTCTAAGACGACACTCGGATAAACAGTGAAGGTTGATTTTCCTTAATTGGAACGACAAAAAGTTAAAAAAGAAGATATGAATCGAGAGTACCACTTGTTAGCTAGGGTTCCAACGAGGGAAAAATTTTCCGAGATGACGGCTCACGAGTGACGTTGACTGCTCTTGAGTTGATGACTCCCCTCTTCCGAGGTTACCTCGCTTCCGTCATCCATCAATAATTTCTTGCTTACGTTAAGCTCACCTCTAAACTTAATTTACAATACTTTATATCAATTTGTGTCCTATGATCGAATTAAAAAAATGCATATTTACAGTAACGACATGCTATTATGCTGTTTTTAATGAATAAAGCATGTATTAGTGATTCCATGGATAGAGCGGGAGGGGGTAAAGAGCATGTGAAAAAGTGTGGGGCTAAACTCACCATTGAACAAGAACGGAATCGAGAGGAATATATAATAATTTATCTCGCCAAAAGTGATGGACATAGGACACGTAAAAAAGTGAGAGAAAACATAAAATTCTTCGTTCTGTCTATGATTAACAAAAAGCCTATTTCTCATGCATGATATTTCAACACGATACTTGGTAATACTAAAACTACCAAACGTGCCGCAAAAGAGTAGGCATCCTTTGAAAGTAATCGACAATGAATTTGAGTGGAAACTTGGTTTGATTAATCATATAACTCGACTCAATCGAAGATGGTCCGTTTATAAATCGCTTTCATTAATCCGTCAAGTTCCCTATCTATTAAGGGTGTGCAAAGGAACTAGAAACTTCGAACCGCCCGAAATCGGACCAGACCAGTCCAGAACTGGAGGTTCCTATGGGGACCTGACCAGTTATTGGTTCCAATTTAATAGAATTCGTGAGTATCTATCCGATTCTCGGTTCCAGGCGTTTGCCCACTTATACTGAACCGGTATATATATATTTAAAAAAAATAGGAGCATCCGTCCTAAAATCACTGTATCATTTAATGTTTGGTAAGCAAGACCCTCATAGAGATTTATTTATTATTCTTACATTTTCCTTTGCAAAGAAGCACTTACATAAAATCTAGGTTTATTATTATATTAATTGATGAGTCCAATTTTGTAGGGCCGGTTCAATTCTCGAGTGAGTCCATGGAACTAATGAGCGATTCCCGATTTAAATTTTTCAAAGCCAATCCTTAATAAGCGATTCTCGATTTTTGGATGGGTTCGCCCCTTCTATTCATACATGTGCATCATAACATGAATTATTGCGTGAATTCGGATTGACAATCAACTGTACAAGGACTTAATCTGTCCCATCAAACACCGATGACGTTGGATTGACAATCAACCGTACAACGACTTAATCCGTCCCATCAAACACCGATGACCACGTAACTGTCACTTTTTCTGGCTCTTTTAACCCATTTCCCACGCACTGTGGGCATGAGCTTATCTAAATAAAGGTGTCAGTCCGAGGAATCCATTTCACACAAGGACGACCATCATCGTCATCGGTGATAATATAGTATTATTGTTCTCTTGGCTTTGTCTCTCGTGAACGTGAGAGGGAAGGAAATGGAGAGAGGACTTCCGCCTTCGACTTCAAGGAGAACGGAGAGGAAGATCATTGAGAAGAACCGGAGGGATCGGATCAAGCATCTCTTATCTGTGCTCAACTCCCTCCTCCCCTCTCAACCGTTGGATCAGGTCTCTCTCTCCCGATCTCTCGATCTCGATAATTCGTGTTCACCTATTAAACTGAGGTTGTGAATTCGTGTCACTACAAAATACTGATGTATTATCAGTTCATGTCGATTAGTGTCGTTCTTTTGCTTCTAGAGATATGTAAAATCATGTCGGAAATTGTCACCCCCATATTAAACATCTCTTCATATCCTCCTCGATTATCGAATTTCTGAAGTTTTGAAACTTAGGTACACGTTTGATCATAGTGATTACGTTACGATGACACACAATATATGTACGACGTTGATACCTGAAATACTTTGTCCTCAACATCCATTTGCATGTACATGCACATGTTTGAGTCGTTTTCACTATGAGAGGACCATTGACATGATGAATAATGCAGGAAGCAAAATCACTGCCAGACCATATAGATGAAGCCATAAGATACATAGAGGGCCTAGAGACAGCAGTGAAGGAAGCCAAGGATAAGAAAGAAAACCTAATGGGCAAGAAGAGACCGAGCTCAAGCACAAGCAGCAATGAGTCGGCGACCATCATATCACCTCAAATTGAGATCAGTGTGAGAGATTCTTCTCTGGAGGTGATATTAACTAGCAGGCTACATGATCAATTCATCTTCTCGAAGATTCTCCGAATGCTCCACGAGGAAAAGGTTGAGGTGCTGAATGCCAACTTCTCCATCATTGGGAACTCAGTTTACCACTTGGTGCATGCAAAGGTACGTACTTAAACTCCATTTACTAAAATCGAAACTTGCCTTCTAATAGTACACATTGATCATTTTCAAGAGAAGCGGGGACATTCATTCTCAACCTGAACACGACATTTATCGCGTTCGTGGTAGGATTTAGACGATAAAATTTCTTTTTCCTGGTAAAACCTAATTCTTAGAGTAACTTCATATTTATCCGGAATTTCTTGATGTTTTTGCAGATAGGTGAGTCCGGTTTAGGCGCTGCGACAATATCCGAACGGCTGAAAACATTCGTGAATGGATCCCCGACCGATGGAGGTCATGAAGAATTTCATACAGAGTTTTGGGACTGTGGACTAAGTCCTAATTTATGGAATTTCTAAAACCCACCAATCCAAATTAATAACTATGAAGGCTTCTCGGAGCCAAATTTTCCAATGCTTCAGCTTCTGAATTTTGTAAGCATTCTTCGATCTAAAAGCTAATGTTTAATCATGCTGTAAAAGAGTACTTGAAATGTAGTGCAACAATCTATATTTGGAGATATAATGGAGAAGATTATCTTTAATCTCCCCTCTTTACCTCAGATTAAGCGCTATTAGTTAGACCGTATGGTTAAGTTCTATTGCTAATTAAGATCATCCGTTACTTAACCCTTTCAATGAACGTATAGTAGAGCTTCGCGTCACGACCATCTCTTTTTTATTGGTTCTACAGACCGAAGCCTGCTGGACTCCCCCTTTAATTTCATCAAACGCAAGAATCATATAACATATTTGCCAAAAATGTTTGGAAAAATGGGTTGGGTCAAGTCGAATCGAAGTTTACCATTGGGTGAATCAAACTTAGTGATTATTGTGTGGATAATGATACAATACTACAATATATGTCCTTGATATACTCAATCAAGATGGAAATTTTGGTGCTTACGATCTGAAGCAACACGTTAGAATATTTTAGCTTTAAACCATGTTTTCATCCAACAGTTTAAGTTTTTAAAACAGTTAATAGTGGTTCTACAAAATTTTAAGCCCAATGTATGCGTGAGGGGAGCATTAGAATATTTAAATATGGAACCACTCCATTATCAAACAACTTTAAATTTTTTAGCAGTCGGCTCCTGGATTCAAATCTTTCCATGTCCCTTAATTGCCTCATTTATTATATTTGTCCACGCTTTGTCTTAGGTGAAAGTTAGGAAATAATTACCAAAAAAGTCCTAAATCTATTATATAGATGCCAATTAGTTCTAAGCTTTTCAATTTAGCTAATTCAGTCCTAAAGCTTTTGACGATTTGCCAATTTAGTCATTATGGCCAATTTTGGCTAGAAATCACTAATGTGGACCCGTAGTCTTACGTGGCATGGCCGCCACTAACGTGTACAATTTTTGCAATTTTATAAAAAAAATTGAATTTTTTTTATAAATTTTTTGATCTTTTCCTTTTTCTTTCTTTTTTTTTTTCTACTAAGTCCGGCAAGGGCTTTGTAGCCCTCATTAGACTTAGTGGGAAAAAAAAAAGGAAAGGGCCACAAAGCCCTCCTCGGACTTAGAAAAAAAAGGAAAATAAAGAAAGAAAGAAATTTAAAAAAAAAATTTTGTTCATGCCAACACTAGTCATGTCACATAGAATGGCCGACGTCCACATTAGCGATTGGCAGCAAAAATTGACCCATAGGTTTACATTGACAAATCGTCAAAAGGTTCAGGATTAAATTGACCAAATTGAAATGTTTATGATTGAATTAACATTTATACAATATGTTTAGGACTTATTTGGTAATTTTTCCCGGAAGTCAGTGGTCCCGCACAATTTTACAAATAGGTCATCAGCTCATCAAACTAATTGGAAAAACTACACTCTTCTTATGTTTAAAAAGTTAAAAATAGATATATATAAATAGTAAAAGAATTCCGTAAAACGGAGTTTTGTGGTTGAGCCACATCATCAAAAAACTCCATCCTCTCCAATTTCCCTTCACTTTACTAAAAAATACAAACTTATTGAAAAAAATTAAAATGGATTCAACAAGTACAAAAGAGAATTCTTTTCATTAAGCCATTAATGCTGATTTTGTTAAGAACCAGTTGAATCTATAATAGGTGAGTTTTTGTAATTAATGTTGTTCATTAGCATGTATTGATTGAGTTTTGCAATACCGTATAGGTAATACAAATGACGGTCAACTTGGACTTTCGGTTGTATATATTAATACTCTACATTTTTGGTAGTGCTTGAGTCAATGCATTTTAATCACCGATGGTTTACTTCCGTCGCCCATCTTTTTGCGACTATGCACATTCCTTTGTGATGATTTTTTAGATGATTTTAGAGGCATCTAATAATTTCCATGTATAACCAGTGAGTATTAGTCTTCACCGATTCAATAGCCCTTTACCACAAAATTAGCATTTTCTTAATTGATAATTACTTCATTTATCATATTATATAAGAGGGCTTTGTACAAAAAAATTGAGGTGGGATTGTTCCGTAGAGAGTTTTTGTACAATAAAAATGGGTTTTATAATTAATACGAATCATTAAATGGCTGATTATTTTAAAAAAATGAATTAAGCCTATCATGTTTGACCAAAAAAAAATTTTAAGCCTGTCATGTACCTTTTGACAACTAGCATGGTTCTATGTTTCTTCCTCCTGACCATTTATTTGTCTTTTAATGGAGCACTGTTCATAGTATTCATGTGTTATGGAGCTAAATTTTTTTTTTGTACTATAACATTGTCTGCCTCGTTATTTTGTATTAAAACAGTATAACTGGAAGATGAATCTTTTTTTACGTGCTAGGATTTTTCAAATGAACATAAATGCTATCATATTGTAATTATCGCATAAAAATGATCGTGAATTTTAGTTTTTAGAATGAACCTGCGCAAATAAGTTCTCACTGATTTGAACTGCATTGGTAGGTTCCAAATCAGCGAGTGTTACAAGTAAATGCAAAGGATCCGATGCAGTGATGAAGATACGGGAAGAGCCCGTCAATTACATAGTCTTGCCCGGTGACGACATACGCAGAATGAAGGTATGCTGCAGGACTGCTTTTCTCTTTTATTTCCCTCGTTCTGATCCTTGAAGTTCTAGATTGTGGCTGGCTGTATCTATGTTGACGTATGTTCAGTTTCATTTTCAGGATTTATATGAAACATGCTTAAGTATTTCGCCGATGACGCATCCTATTATGGTCAGATTGATCAGATTTCGATGGAAAGGTGAAAAGGTGGGTATGGTTTATATGATCAACGCCGTCGAAAGAAGATAGTCGCCGCCTTGAATGTCATGACTGCTTGCAAGCTCCATTTAGAAAGAAGATAGTCGCTGCCTTGCTTTGCCGTGTTCGTAGAACTTACATTTCACACGACTGAAAGGACACTGACATAACTGTTTTTTGTGTCATTTATGAAATCAAGCTGCATTCATCGTAGAGTCTGTCGAAACACTAATTCTTGCATGCGTCTTTGGTAGTTTCGAATACACAAACCAGTCAGAAGGACCCGGTTGATGTTCCAGCACTAGTTGGCAAATTTACCATTTCTTATTCCTCAGACGAGTTGTGCTTATATATGTCTAAATGTTGTACATACCAGAAGTCAAAACAAGTTGCTGATCTGGTTGGGAGCTCGGATCAAAGCCGCGCTTGGGCTTTTGAGTCTCCTCGAAAATATGCATATTCCGGAGACAAACCCATGATATCCGCCATTCCATAAATTGCAATTTGGGTGCAGGAACATGTAATGATCGACCATGTAGGCCTTTCCGACTGCCCATTGTCCGTGTTTCCACAATAATCAATCGATTGTCTTCTTTTGTGTCATGAGCTTTCTGAGACTTGTAGGACCGCAACGCAATCTTATACGATAATAGCATGATTTCTGTTGGAATTTTTACGGATAGAAGGATACTGTTAAATCAGTGTGTGAAACACTGTTACGGCTATGTTGATCCAAGTCAGAGTGACCGCAGTAGTCCTACTCAGTTTGATATTTGTAATGACCGCAGTTGTCCTCTTGATTTATTTGTTGCCCGATTAGGTTCTTTGACGTCTCTTGCCACTTATTGCCGTAATTTTCTTCCCTTCATGTAGCTACGCATAGCTTGAACCCACAAATTATGATTAGACCTATGTAGAACAGTTTGTATGGGCTGGGAGACCTCGGATATGTCCATTTTTGCAGTCTGATAAGTACCAAAAGAGAAAAAAAAAAATGCCCTACACTCAATCTCTCAGTCCAAAACAGCAAAAACTAACCTCAAATTTGGAAAGACCACCACAAGCAACCTGGGAACCGGTTTAGAAAGGCCAAAGAACCTGTCCAAAAGAGGTCCAACTGGTTACTCAAAGAATTGAATCGGTTTGCTCAACACAGTTTGATGGCTGCTGATGTGGTGCGGCTTGCTGAGGTGGCTAGCTGATGTGTGTCAATGACGTGGCCTTTTGATAGGATGTGTGCGGCGTCTGATGACATGGCAGAGGAACTGCTGAAGATCAGGCTCGACGCATGAAACATGTGAAGGGCGTGACTTGGATCTTGAATCGACTAAGGGTACCTTTGGTTTGCTTTTTTGAGAAAATGTTTGGGAAAATGCAAAAACCTTTAGGCTCCGATCGTTTGGCGGAAAATATTCTCCTTTTGGAAAATATTTTTCCGGAAGTCATTTTCCTGGAAAATATTTTCCCGGAATATAATTTTCCGGTGTTCGGCGATCAATATGAAAAAGTTTCGGAAAATATTTTTCTCCGGCGACCGGCGGCGGGCAGCGGCGTCCGGCGGCCTGCGGCCGGCAGCGCGTCCGGCGTCGGCAGCAGCCGGCACAGCAGCGAGCGGCCAGCGTCGCGCCAGCGGCCGGCGACAAGCGGCCGTGCGTCCGGCGACCGGCGGCCGGCGTCCGGCCGCAGCGGCAGCGGCGCCGCGTCCGGCGGCAGCGGCAGCGGCCGGCGTCCGGCGGCCGGCGGCGGCGACCAGCGTCCGGCGGCGGCGGCAGCGACGCGTCGGCGGCGGCGGCGGCGGCGGCCAGCGTCCGGCGGCGGCAGCGTCCAGCAGCGGCCGGCGTCCGGCAGCAGCGGCGGCGTCGGCGTCCGGCAGCGGCAGCGTCAGCGGCGGCGTCCGGCGGCCGGCGTCCAGCAGCAGCGTCCGGCGGCCGGGCGGCCGGCGTCCGGCGGCGGCGTCGCAGCGGCGGCGCGCCGGCGTCGCGGCGGCAGCGGCAGCCGCAGCGGCCAGCAGCAGCGGCAGCAAGCAGCGGCCAGCGTCCGGCAGCAGCGGCCAGCGTCCGGCAGCAGCGTCCGGCGTCCGGCGGCAGCGTCCGGCAGCGGTAACGCTGGCCGGCGTCCGGCAGCCGGCGTCCGGCCGGCCGGCAGCGGCCAGCGTCCGGCGTCCGGCAGCAGCGTCCGGCGTCGGCGCGGGCTGCCGGCAGCCGGCCGCGAAATCCGGCGTCCGGCGTCCAGCGTCCGGCGTCCGGCGGCCGGCGTCCGGCGTCCGGCGTCCGGCGGCAGCGTCCGGCGTCCGGCGGCAGCGTCCGGCGTCCGGCGGCCAGCGTCCGGCGGCCAGCG